GAAAAATTTAAAAAAAAAAAAAATAATATTAAAAATTTTAATAAAAAAAAAAAAATTTACACACCAACCCACACACACACACTATTTTTTTTTTTTTATTTATTGTGATTATCACTGAGATTTGTAATTTTTAATAATTATTTTTTTTTTATATTATGATTTAATGAATAAATTAACCAAGTTATTTTACTTTTACATTAAAAAAAAATTTCACAATTTAATTAAATTTATTTTTTTTATTTTATTTTTATTTTTTTATTAATAAGAAAATGTTATAATTTCTTTAAGATCATCTGGTATTGGTTGTTTATAATTGGGATTAAGTATTATTTTTTTTAAATTTTTTGAAAATAAATTTGAAGATATTGGGTGCCAAAAACAATAACCCAATCTAAGTTCTGTTACAGATTCTGGAATGGAGCCTTGTAAAAATGGTTTGTTATAATCTCCAGAAAGGTCCAAAAGTGTAATTGAGTTTGGTAATGTCCCAGGTTCGATTGTTTGGTTAAATAAAGTTTTAAAAGAAAGAGTTGTGACAGAGTCTGGGATGTGACCAAATGAAAGAGGTTGATTAAAGTATCTAAATGATAAATCGGTGACGGAGGAAGGAAGAGAGTTTACATATAGAGGTGTATCGAATAGAGATAGTGATAATAATATAATGGAGTTTGGTAGAGTATTTGGGTTAATTGGTTTGTTATAACCTGAAAGAGATAGATCACATACATTCGGAGGTATGACATTGGGTTGAAGAGTGATATTATATCCACCCAAAAACAATTGGTCAATTGATGGAGGTAAATCACCTGGTTTTAACTCTTGTTCAAAAGCATCTAAAGTTAATGCCTGTAATGAAGATGGAAATGATTTTCTTTCGATTTGACAATTAAAATTTTTAAAATGTATGTACTGAACTGATGGAGGAATACACCCAGGGGCTATTGGTTTGTTATAGTTGTACAAATACAATTCGCAAACTGTACTTGGTAAGCAATCATTTAGTGGGTGGTCGTATTTATTTAATGATAATACCTCTAGAGATGAAGGTAGGGACCCTGGTTCTAGCGGTTTGTCCATTTCATTAATAACCAACTCTTTTATTGAATCACCCAAATCACCTTTTTTTAAAGAGCCATTAAACTTTGATAAAGTTAATGATTTAAGAAATGGTAGATTAATTCCGTTGCTTGGTAATGTTAATCCATGATAGGTTAAATTCAATATGTAGCTTTTATTTGGATACTTCATATATTGATCTTTGGTTGTTAATTGTACCTGAAAATTATCTCTAAATAATTCTAAATGTTTTGTAATAGTTGATCGTAGGTAAACATTTCTAAAAATTGAAAAGAATAAATTATCATCCGCCATTTAATTAATTAGTTATATTATTTAATAAAAATGAAATAAAAATAAAAAAATGATAAAAAAAAAAAAGTTAAAAAAAAAAAAAAAAAAGATTTTTATTTTTAAAAAATATTAAAATAACTGTCGATTTGTTTTTATTTTTTAATTAAAAAATGAAGGTTCAGTTTTTTTTTATTGAAGGGATATTATATATACCAAATAATACTTCAGTTGAAGGTGAAAATATTTATAGATCTACTTTTGTTTTCATTAGGAGATTATGGAAAATTACTAGTTTAATATTGCTTGGAAAGATATCTTTGTCATTAATAATTTGATTAAATTTATAACCAAAAGAAACAACTTCTAAACCCTCAGGAAGATCACCATGTTTTAAAGGTGCATTAAATGAGTTTCCAAATTCAATTTCTTTACATGAAGATGGGATGGAGTATTGATGAAGGTTTTGATTAAAACTCATACCAAGTTTAAGATACAAAAGATTTGGCGGAAGAGCATTAGGTAATAAAACTTGATTAAAACAAAAAAATTTTAAATCTAATAAACTCTTTGGTAATTGACCCTCCAGTATTGGTTTATTAAAACCATTAAGTTCCAATTTTGTTAGTGATGAATTTGGAGAAAAAAATGAAATTGATTGGTCACTATTTGAAAGAGGTTGATCAAAATTTTCTAAAATGAGGTAATTCACTGAATTTGGTACTATAAAACTACTAGATATGCTGTGTTCATCAAGATTTTGGTCATAGCCACCTAAAGTTAATTTTTTAATTGAATTTGGTAAGATTAGAGGTGAGATTATTTGGTTAAATCTAGAACCTAGATTTAGAATAGTGCATGATTCTGGTATATGGTTTTTTTCTAGTGGATGACTGAATGAATAAAACGAGAGATTAACCACTGAATTTGGTATTGCTCCTGGAGAAAGAGGTTTATCAAAGCCACCAAACATTAAGCTTTTGAGGTTTCTTGGTAATGAGTTTTTTATTAGAGTTTGATTGAAATTACCAAAACTTAATTTCTCTATAGAATCTGGGAATGTACCTTGCTCTATTGGTTGATCAAAATTTTGAGAAAATTCGATTGAACAGATACCATCAGGGAAAACTCCAGCAGAAATTGGCTTATTAAAACTATGACCAAGCCAAAGATATTTACATTTCGAAGGTATAGAACCAGCTAGAAGAGTTTGATCGAAAAAAGTTGAGAATATGAGTTTTTTGATGTTTGAGGGCAGTACACCAACTTCTATCGGTTTATTAAATGAATTACCCAAACAAAGAGAGGTGACACTAGGAATATCAAGTATTTTAATTTCTTGATTAAAAAATGAAGATAACATAAGATCTGCTAAATTGGGTGGCAAAATTGATGGCCCCAATGGATGATTGTAGTGAACACCTAATGAAAGAGTATGGACACCTGTTGGGATTGAGCCTGGTAACAACTTTGTATTAAAGTTTTGACCAAGTCTTAAAGTGTGTAAAGCTTGTGGCAATAACCCCACTGGTACTACTTGGTCAAAACCAAACATGAAACACAATTCTTCAACCCAATTTGGTATTTCTTCCTCTTTTAATTCTCTATTTTCAATTTCTAATACTCTCACTCTTTTAATTGTGCTTGGTATACCTATAACATTCAATGGAATGTATCTGTGGAGGGTTAGTATATTTACTACCAAATTTTGACACTGATGAGGCCATTTAAATTCTTCTTTAGATGAATAGATTAAATGAAAGACATATTCTCTATATGGATAATATATAAAATCTTCAATTGAATTTACTTTTAGTGTATAATTATCTCTGAATAATTCCAACTGTTTTGTTATATTGGATCTAATGTAAATATTTCTAAATACTAATTTTTCTATATTAGACATTTAATAAATTTAAAAATAATTATAAAAAAAAAAAATATCTTAATCATAATAAATAAAATCTGAAAAAAATTGGAAAAATTTTTTTTTTTTTTTTCAAATAAAATTTTTTTTTGATAAATTTTTTTTTTTGATGAAATTTTTTTTATTTTTTTTATTTTTTTTTTATGATAATAAAAAAAAACCAATAAAGTATGTAATATCTCTTTTTTAAAATATAAATATTTTACCTGTTTTATTCGATATCATTATTTATACATAGTTTCAACGATATCTTGTTTGATGGTTATACAGTTTATTATTAATTATAACTTTTATTGTTAATTTTAATTCTATAACCATCATGCATGATATCGTTAAATTATGGTTAAATAATGGTAATGCAAATAATAATAATAATAACAATAATAATTTAAAAATAAAAATTTTTTATAATATAAAAACAAAAAAAAAAAATGAATTCTTTCCTTTTGTATGTATGTATTTATTTCTAATATCATTAACGTTTACGAATTGTTTTATATTTTTCATAGGGTACACCAGCTTCGTGACTAGTTTCTTCCCAGATTTCTTGGATAGTATGATTTAATTGATGCATTTTATTGATCAAGTCTTCAAAAGCTTTTATGTCTTTTTGAATCTTTGAGTCTTGTGAATCTTGTGAATCTTGTGAATCTTGTGAATCTTGTGAATTTTTATTGATCAAGCCTTCAAAAACTTTTCTGTCTTTTTGTATCTTTGAGTCTTTTGAATCTTGTGAATCTTTTGATGGGCCATCATCAATTTCCTTTTTTTGCCTGTACTATATTACCCAGTACAAATAAACTGATTACGAAAACCTTCAAGTAACTTTTCATTCTTGGATGACCAATATGATAACAAATAAATAACCACAAAATATATAAATAAAAAAAAAATAAAAAAAAAATAAAAAAAAATAAAAAAATAAATAATAAAAAATTTTTTTTTTAAGTTCTCATAAGTTTTATTTTATTTTTTTTAAAAATTTGGTTATGCCACCTAAATTAATCATTAATTTTTAAAAAATAAAAAAATGAGGTGAGATTATTCATATAAAAATATTATTGGTAAATAATATTTAATTTATAATAATATTATTAAGGGGTCTATATATTCCATGGGGGAAAAGGGTAAAATTAAAAAAATTAAAAAAATTAAAAATCTTTATTTTGGTGTATGATTTTATTTAATTTAATTTCTTTTTTTTTTTAAAATAATATTTTCACCACCTTCAATCTATGGTAATATTAATGGAATTCAAATCTCAACTACCATAGAGAAATATTCCATCATTGTGACCAAATTACTGATTTCAGTACATGTATAATTTGCCACTACACTAGTTTTCTACCTATAAAAATAAGGAAAAATAAAATTTGTATATTGTGATGTATGTTTTATTTACATGTATAATCAATAAAAAAAATTGAACCATTAGCATTTTACTTTAGGGATTTTTTTTTTTTAAAGAACTAAATACATCATTAAATTTGAAAAAATAAAAAAAATAAAAAAAAACTATATTATTTATTTCTTTATAATTTAAAAAAATTAATTCATCCCATTATATATATCATTGTAATTTGACTAATATATGTAGTTAATAAAAATTTATAACAATTACTTAATTTTTTTTAATATTTTAATTTGTTAACCTTTATAGTCATTTTAAATCCTATCATATTATTTTAATGTAAATTTTATTTATTTTTTTTATTTCTTAATTTTATTTTTAATATTTTCTCTGTAATCCGGAAAGAAA